CTACATGTGAGAGCCCTGTCACGTGAGAGCCCCTACCCATGAGAGCCTCGTACACGTGGGAGCCCCGTCACATGAGAGCCCCATCACGTGAGAGTGGAGCCGTCTCGCTCGGTGGTGAGGGAAGTACTGCTAAGCCCGGTGCATTCTTGGCCTGGACTTCCAATGGGAATTTCACTTTTGAAAACACTCGTCAGCGGGCGTGTGCACCCCCAGAGAGAGAGGAGAGGGAGGGAGAAAGCACCCCTGCGGGAATGCTCCTCTCGGGATTTGGGGCACACATGCACGTGTGCCTGGCATGTTTTCCAAGCCACCAGGTCCGGGACTTGAACTGCACAGCTGGCTACGTGGGACACAGCTACCCTCCCACCACATCAGCAGCTGGCCTGGAAATGATTTTTTTTAACATTTTTTCCTTTTATTCATGATGGAGCCTGTGCCGACACTAGAGGGGGAGAAAGACAGAGGGAGGGAGGAGGGAAGGAAGGAAGGAAAGCCCCCTCCACAGAGTCGGGCCACACGGTGGTCCCCTCTGTCCGGTCCTGGGCACTCGCGTGCATGCCTGGCGTGCTTCAGACTGGCCAGGCAGGGCTCCAGGCTGTGGTCGCCATGGGGTCCAGCTTCCCTTCAGGAGTGCGTCACCACCGAGTCACGTCACACCCTCCCATGGGGACATTTCGAACAGTCTTCCCTGCAGTGTGACCCGGTCATGGGGCGGACTCCGCGGAGTGACAACATCGCAAGTTGTGACAAGTGAGGCGAAGAGCTGAGAGGGGCTGGGAGGCCCCGGTGTGATTGTTCTCGGTGTGGCATCTGCTTTAAACGCTTTGCATGAAAGATTGTGTGGGTGTACGTGTATGTTGTATGGGTACACATGTGTAAGTGGTCTTCAAAAGTTCAAGGGAAATGCATATTATGCAAAAAGTACATATGACTTTTAGAACTTTTTGTATGAATTTAAACACATACTTTAATTCCATTTCCCACAAAGTTTTTGAAGTTCACACACATATGTTGTGCATACACATGTGTGTACTGTGATTTATGCACACATATGTGCAGTTTGTGTGCGTGACGTGTGCATGCACATGTGTGTGCTGTGTGTGCACACGTGTGCATGTGTGGTCGAGTGTACATGTGGAACCAGAGTGCAATGCTGCTGCTGCTGGGTGGGGAGGCCAAGTGGGTGTGCCCCTCACCTCCCTGCAGAACCCCCGGCACCCTTGGAACGCAGTGTGGAACTGTGGCTCCCCACTGGTGAGTGTGGCGGTGGAAGCTCAGTGGTAGTGTCGCTCTGCCCTCCCTCGGACAGTGTCAGCCACTCGTGGGCCCTGCAGGGCTGTCGCAGCTACTGCGGTGTCTGTCTAGCGGGATCTCCCCTGCCTGTCGCACTCGCTGTCGACTTCTGACCTGTTCTCGGACCGTGGAGCTGCTGCTTCGTGTTGCTGTTTCCAGAACCTCTTGGAAAAGGCCAGGAAGGCTTGTCTGCTGCGCTCCATTGAGCTAAAGGGTCTCTTGCTCTGTGTGACTGCCTGTCTCTCTGTCCCTCTGTGTTCTGTCTGTCACAAGCTGCTGTTTGGGCCTCCCAAGCCCTTCCACAAATTAGCCGCCCTCCACAAGTGAGAGGCTGTGCTTGGGCAGCCCCGTGGGACGGTGCTGAAGGCGGCTGGATCCCACGTGGCTGACTAGTGGCTTGTAGCCCCAGACCTGGCAGCTTGAAAAACACACCGGGCACGGGTGCAAACATGGCCAAAATCCGGAGAGGAAAACAGAGGAGGAGGGATTGCAACATGGTGTTCCCCTGAGGGGTGCTCCTTTACTTTCTCTGTTTCCCTGTCTCAAGAGCGTACCCACTCTAGGGACCAGCAGTTAGCGTAATGGCTATGTCGCTGGACTCCCACGTAGTCGACCGCGGTTCGAGTCCCGGACCCGGTGGCTTAAACTCACGCCGGGCGCGTGTGCGTGCGTGCCCAAGATCCCGAGAGGAGAATGGAGGAGAAGGGATTGCGGCGTGGCCATCCCCCCTGGGGGGTGATTTCCTGCTTTCTATCTCTCTGTCTCTCTCTGTCTGTCTGGCGAGCGCACGCGCCCTATAGCAAAAACCTCTCCAAAAAAAAAAAAAAAAAAAGAGCGTACCCACTCTATAGCAGAAAAAAAGAAAAAAGAAAAGAAACAAGAGGCAGTTGTTGGCCTCGCCTCATTTGCATATGTACTGGAGGAAGTGCCTGGAGGAAGGAGGAGCCAGCAGGGTGGAGCTAGCCGCAGGCTCTGTACAGGGGCTCACTGGTCAGGGTGGTTCTCTGTCCAGGGGTGTCCTCGGAGACAAGGCTACACAGTAGGGATGCATCTTTGCCATCTCAGGTACAAGGTGACTGTGGTGTCTGTCACTTTAGGGTCCCGAGTGAAGACAGGGAGCAGAAAGATGGGCACTAACGGGGTGGGAGAAAGGAAAAGAGCCCACTTGCGTGAAATGAAGAGACGTGTGAAGGTGAATCAGCCAAAACGCTGTCCGAGTTTTCCTTAAGCATCCATCGACTCAAAATCCATAAAATAAAAGATTGTAAAATTGGCCACATCAAGTGGTTAAACACAGCTTTAAAGCCCATAAAATAAGCAACGTTAAAAATAAATCACTCCAAAATACATGGCAGCATCTATGAGAGTCTTATGGATAAACCAGCAAATCATGACACACAAAAAAAACAGAGCCAAAGTCATGAAAAGGAATTCGCAGAAAAAGAAATACAAGTAGCTAGACATGAGAACACACTGAACCCTTCTTCTAAAGAAAGGCGAATTAAAGCAAGCTATGATTTTTCTGTCTTCTTTCAGATGTGCAAAGATTCAAATATCTGATAACAGTCGGTCGGCAGGGTGTGGGCAAATAGACACTTTCATATCCAGTTAGTAAGAGAAAAAGTGACGACCTCGTTGGAAAGCAATTGGTAGTCTCTGTCAAAATAGAAAATGCCCACGCCCTGCAGCCCAGCTGTCTCCTTCTAGTGATTTCTCCACAGGCACTAACAAGCTGTGATGGAGGCAGGCCAGCGTGAGCCAGGCACAGTTCTCAGTGCGTTACATACGTGAACACGTTCAGTCTACACACCAATAGGTCGCTGATAGGGAATCAAAACCGCAAATTCACCCCTGCACTCCAAGGTCTGGGAGCAGCGATGGTTGCTGCATTATTTATAGCAAAATGCTAAAAGTAAAAGATCGTTAGGACCAGCAGGTGGCATGGTATTTAAGGTGCTAGACATGGCCAACCATGGTTCGAGTCCTGGACCTGGTGGAACTTTCTCGCTTTCTCCCTCTCTCTGGTCAAATTAAAAAATAAATGAATAATCAATAGAGTTAAACAAATAATTCCAAAATAAATAAATAAATAAAAGATTGTGACTATGGTGTCTGTCATCAGGGTCTGGCCACATACGTGACCCCACGTCCACACGGTAGCAGACCAGATCGGTAATAAGTCAGCTCCCTCAGCTGACTGGGGAAGATCTCTAAGACTTTTGTTCTGGTGAGAAAAAAAAATCACATTTCAGAAAAGGTACCTAATATGACATCAGGCATGTAAATAGATATGTTTGCATTAGCCTGTGGGTATGTTTCAAAGTTCTGGACCGATTTATAAGCAGAAGTAGTAAATCGCAGAATCGGGGCTCCCAAGAGGGAGGAAGGAAGTGTTTATTTTTCATTTTCTAGCGTTCTGTGTGGTTGTGTTTCTCTCCACTAGTGCGTAATTTTTTAAGTCTGGTTAGACAATAACACACGGAAACGCTCGGTGGGTTGCTGACTCGGGAGGGTAATCTACGTCTGTGAAACCCCTGCAGTGAAGCGCTGTCTTGATGGCCCCTGCCTAGTGGGGTCAGATGGTGAAGGCTTTGAAGGTTCATGAGAACCCCAAGTACAGGAAAGGGCGGAGGAGAGCGATGTGGGTGAGAGAACAGACCAGCAGCTATGAGAGTACACGCTCTGGACAGCCTCCCCCAGACACCGCTTGCCCTCCCAGGCTGTCCCCGCTCCAGGCTCTGGGATGGGCTGGAGCTGCAGACACGCACCAGTGTGGTCAGCTCCGAAGGGCTCAGACTTGACAACTCCTCCTTCCTCCGAGAAGCCTTTAGGAGAGTACACAGCGCCTCTTCCTCAAGGGCGGGTCCCTGAACCAGAGAAAGGGGGAGCTTCTTGAAAGAGAAGGCTTTCGGGACCAGCAGTTAGCGTAATGGCTATGTCTCTGGATTCCCATGTGATCGACTGCAGTTCGAGTCCCAGACCTGGTGGCTTAAACTCACGCCGGGCGCGTGTGCATGCGTGACCAAGATCCCGAGTGGAGAATGGAGGAGAAGGGATTGCGGCGTGGCCATCCCCCCTGGGGGGTGATTTCCCGCTTTCTGTCTCTATGTCTCTCTCTGTCTTTCTGGCGAGTGCATGCGCCCTATAGCAAAAATCTCTCCCAAAAAAAAGAAAAAAAAAAAAGAGAGAGAGAGAGAGAACACTGTGGAATTCCTGACTCACCTTTGTTAGAAATAATCCCGGGTTCTCTCACCTGCCACTGGGGCACAGGGATGGCCACTTTCTGGGAGAGCAGACCATGGGGCCATGTAGGGGCAGCGGGAAGCCCTGCAGGAGGGAGGCCCTGAGTGAGCCTCCCGGGCCAGCATGGTCCATCTGCAGCCTGATGTCCAAGTGCCAAGAGCCACCAGACTCGGCCCCACTAGAGACTTCTTTCTTCTCCGTCACCCTCTCTGGCTCTGTTCTCTTGGACACTGAGGCAGCTGAGAAGTTGAGGAAGCCCTCCCAGATGGCCACCCCATTAAATCAGACCCCATAGCTCTCGAGAGTCCTGTAAGCCCCACACCCAGGCACAGACGGCCCTGTCTGCCTTTTCCTGATGCTCCCTGAGGGCCCAACCCCTCAGCCACATCAGGAGGTTGTGGCCTTTTGGGTGGCATGAGCTGGATTTTCCTACATGGTTCTCATAAGTCTGTGGTCTGTTTCAGGTATCGGAACTGCGTTTACACATACAGAATTCTGCCCAATGAAGACGATAAATTCACTGTTCAGGTAAGTCCTTCCTAAGTCTGACTCGAACCTACCTGGGCAGAGAAGGGGTGGAAGAGGAGCAGCAGCCTAAAAGCAGTGGCACGTGGGGGCTCGGCGAGTGAGCGTGACCCTCCAGATGACCTGCTCCATGATGTGATGGAGCAGCCAGGCCAACAGTGACCAGCGCCCATGGTGTGACGAGGAACCAGTGGCGAGGAAGGATGCCCAGAGTGGAAGAGCAGTGCGTGGCCATGTCCAGCGACTTCGTTCCCTCATGCTCTTGAGGGAACGAGAGTGAGCGGTCTGGGACAGAGGAGGAACGTGGGACGTGGACTTGCCGACACGCCTTTTCATGTGTTAGAGTCTGCTCAGGCCACGGCTGACCCTCCTGGATTCTGGGTGGCCATGCAGGGTCCCAGTGTGCACGTAATCAGCTGCACAACCTGCACCAGGGAAGGCCACCCTCGCCCTGTTTGCGTCACAAATACCAAAAATGTGGCACACCATGTATGACAGTTAAGTGATGTGGAAACCAGGGGTGTGACTTGTATTACATTTTTAAAATGTGGAGAGGCCAGAAGGTGGCAACGTGGTTGGGGCGTTGGACTGCTGCATAGTTGACCATGGTTCAAGTCCTATACTCAGTGGCTTGATACTCACACCAGGTACATGTGCATGCATGCCCAAAGTCCCCAAGAAGAAAATGGAGGAGAAGGGGTTGGGTGTGGTCATCCTCCCCCGGGAGTGATTTCTGGCTTTCTGTCTCTCTGTCTCGCTGGTGAATGCACACACCCTATAGTAAAAGTATCTCTTAAAAAAAGAGAGAACGTAGAAGTGGGGAGAATGAAGACGATGGCCTCAGGGTCACCAGCAGAGAACAGCGTGTATGTGTGCATGTGTGTGTGTACATGTACGTGTGCTATACATGCGCGTGCGTATGTGTGAGAGGCTCAGCCCTCAGGGACCATGGTAAGGTAAGAGACGATCAGGTGGCGTGAATCCACGTTCTGAGCAGAGCAGCTGTAGACACAGGTTTGCGAGGCAGCGACAGGGTCTGTGGGTTCAGTTGCAAGGATAGCAGAAGTGGGAGGGCGGGGAAGGCACAGCCACTGGTTTCTAGAACCTGACTCTGTGCAGAACTAGGGTGCGGTAATAGACACATGGCTGGACTCCAGGCTTGGCAGCAGGCAGGTCCTTGGCACAAAGACATCCAGAGAGGTGCCAAGAGGCAGAAGCCGTGGCGAGCAGATGGCCTCTCGGAGAGACTGGTCACGGCAGTCAGAGGGCTCTAGGGCTTCAGCAGGCCACTTGACTGGGAGAGTAGGAGACTGAGGGGCAGGCTCGAGCAGGCCTGCAGGTCCCAGAGCTGCCTTCTCAGGGGACTGGGCTGCTCTCTGCTGGGCTCTCACAGGGGATGCAGAACTGCTGCCATGGTAGAGGCGGGGGGGGGGGTGTCCAGTTACTTTGGCCTGCCTGCCGGTGCCTCCACACCAGAGTCAAAGGGTACCCAATGCGAAGTTTGTTGCTGTTGTTATTTTGTTCAGTTGACAGAGGGTGCACCCACTGGCCAGAGAAAGAGGGAGACCTCCCCACACTGTGAGGCATGGCCATGGCCTTCTCCTCTGTTTCTCCACCTCGTTGGCAGTTTCAGCACACAGGCACTTGCACCCAATGTGTTTTTCAAGCCACCAGGGCAGGGACTTGAACATGGGGCTGTCCATGTGGGATCTGACTCCCTTAACCACGAGCCTCTGTGGGGAGGGCCCATGGGAAGGTCTTTAGCTTGTCTGGGCGTCCCCTTGTCTTAGTCTGGTCCTTGCTAAAAGTCCCAGAGTGAATGGTGGCATTTCGGATGCAGGAAGCGCCCTGCAAGTGAGTGGCAGCCATTGTCATCGGCATGTTTGTCCCTGTCAGGGACATGGCCAGGTGAGGGGCAGCCTGTTCAGGCCTCGGCCTCTGCAGCGTTTTTGAGGCCAAGGTGTGTGAGTTCCCTGGCTGGCTCGGCACCCTCAACAGGTTTGCTGAGTCTCGGCGCTCTCAAGTTAAAAGTTGGTCAACGCTTTTGATCTCTTCTCCCCTTGTGGTTTCTTCTATTCCTTCAAAGTGAAGGAAACTTTAAGTATGACTGGAAAAGACGTGGCTTTGTGGCTTCTCACGTAGATGTCATGCCCACGACCTGTCGGTGTAGACGGTGTCTGGAGTCTGTCCTCCATGACCTGGGTGTCTGTCTGCCACGGGTCCTGCGACAGCTTGGAAAGCCAGGGTCTCACCAGGCTTGGTGGTTTCAAGTAGTGGGGACTCACTTTCGCTGGTCCTGGGACGGATGAGTGGGCTTCATGGAGAAGTGCTTAGCAACCAGGGAGAGGCCACTCGGGCACCGCCCGGGACTGGGGACCAGAAGGCCTTGGGGCCCTGGCCCAGCTGCCACCCACCGTGACTCAGCTCTGCTCTGCGGTCTGGTTTCTCCCTCCCTGCAGGCTCGCTTCTCAGTTCCCAGTCCCGAGGCCGAGTCTGATTGGCCCAGGCACTAACGGCTTTCTCTGCCTGGGCCACGGGGGCCACCCGTCAGTGTGACTGGCTGCCTTGGGCTCAGAGACGGCCGAGTCCTGGAGCAGAGCGCGGCTTAGCCCTCAGACAGAGGGGTGGCCCCGCTGGTCACGCACACTCCCGACCCTGCACCAGGCCTGGGGCCAGCCCCAGGTAACTGACATGCAGGGAGCCGTGGGCCTCCATGGTCTGAATGAGTGTCCACCGAAAGGACAGGCCTTCCTCTGAAAACTCACTTCCTAAAATAAACACGGGCAAGTGTCTAGAAGAGCAAATGAAAGCTATGCCCAATTAAGCCAAGTCAGGACCCTCTGAGGAAGCTTCAGCAGTTATTGATCGCTGCTTATTTTAACTCAAGTTCCTCTTTTCATGTTAGGGCAAAACCTCAAACTCTTTTCTGAGCTCAGCCACAGTTTCTAAATAACTCACTTTTTGCCCGAGTGTGTTCTGAGCCATCAGAATACGGGGCTCCCAAAATAAGACTCGGGCCCAAAACGCTGCCACGTGAAGCCCTGGAGGCCGTAGCTGTCACCCAGGTTGCTCACCGCGACTCACCCTGCTGCGGTTCGGTCTCCGTCTCAAAAACGAACGGCCTCCGTGAGGTCAGCCCACGCGTCGTGCCCATGATGGCCGCTGTGGGCCAGGGAGAGGAGCGGCCCGACACTCAGAGACGTCCCTCTCGCTCCACCCTCACAGACGTACAGAAATCAGAGGTGACAGGGCAGGTGCGGCTGTCACTGCCCCCAAGCCCTGTTTGAAGGTGTGCGTGGGGCCGAGACCTGCGGAAGTCGGAGCTCACGCCTAGGTCTCCTGCCTCCCCACGGAGCCTGCTTCTTCCCGCCTAGAAAGTGTTTCCCCACTGGCTGGCCTTGGGAGCCCTGGGGAGGACAGGCCTACGCTCTGCCCCGGGGGCCAGGGAGGTGGGCCGTGCAGCTTCTTGAGGAGCGTAGCCTCTTTTCCTTCACATGGTGTGGGTGATATCTGACCACAGATGTCACTTGGCCCTGTGGCAAGACACTGAGGTACCCAGAGCTAAGCTGACTCCATTCCCAGCTGGGAGCTGGCTTCGTCCAGGTTTCTCCAGCCATCAGAAATGCCTCTGGAGAGCAGGAATCACTCACAGGCCTCCATGTGCCATGGTCCACGGAGGTCAAGTACCCAGCCCGGGTGAGCGGCCGCTGTCCAGCTGCCACCCCCACCCCCACCCCCACTGTCACCATCTCACTGTAAGAAGGATCAGAGGTCACGCAAAGTCACAGCGATAGGTCAGTTCTCTGTGATGCTTGGGGGAGATGGAAAGGGAATGCAGAAGAAAACGAGGTTGTAGGGATGTTCATATCGAGAGAGAGACAGAGATGATGGAGAGAGGAGAGAGGAAAGAACATGTAAAAGAAGGAAAAAGGGAGGGGGAAACAGGAAGACGAAAGTGGGGGAAGAAAAAGTCAGGAAGCGGGAACGTCAGGTGGGGGGCAGTTTTAACAGGAAGAATGAGATGGAGCTGGAGTGGGGTACAGGCACAGAGAAGGGGGTGGACAGACAAGGGCCAGAGGTGCTCTAGAAGGTCCTAGACCGTGCGGGGTTGGCGGGAAGCGACAGTGTGGAAAAGGGTCTCCCTCAGCTCTGCCCATCTGCCCCAGACTCCGTGACTTTGGTTGCCCTGCAGCCTGCGTGGTTGTTGAGTGGTTGTCCAACTGCTGTGCCCCATGCACCCTGGGAACCTTCCAGACTGGGTCCTGGTCCTGGGGAAGCAGGGCTTAGAGCACTGTGTGAGGTCAGAAGCAGGCAGACGGTCCAGGCCCTCAGGACTGAGTCCCCCACCCCAGAGACCAGGGTGTCTGCATAGCCTGGGGCTCCTTTCCCAGCTAGGAAAGAAGAGCGAGTGTCTCCTAAGGGAAGTGGCGCCATCTTGAGCTCCTGACGCCGGATGAGCTGCGAATGCCGGATGCTGCCGCCTGTGAAATGAGCATCCTCGGGGAGGGTAAGGAAGATATAGGGTCAGTGACAGAGGACAGGCCCGGGGCTTGTGAACCACACAGATGGCTGCCTAAACCCAGGCCACCCCAGCGTGAAGGCGGTCCTGGGCTCCAGCCAATAGCCCGTCAGCCTGTCTCTCTCCCTGACATCCCTCCTACCAAGAAGAAGGAAGCAGAAAGTGAAACCCGCCCATAATCCCGTGGCACGGTGACATTCTGTGCAAACGTCCTGTCTTCTCTGGAGCTTGAGGCTGTACCCAGGGTACTGATTGCTTAAGACAGGAGCCCCGAGGCCTCGATGCCGGCTTAGATGGCGAGCGAATTAGATCACAGCTGTAGACGCTTTGTTATTCTCCCTCATTGGGAAGAGAAGCCCGGAGGCTCCAGCACACAGCTGAGCTCTGAGGCTGACACCATGACGCAGACCCTAGCACCTGACGGTGGCCACATGTCACCCTGGGCAGTGCGACCTTTGGAGAGGGAAAACAAAACAACTTTGTA